ATATATATATATATATATATATTGGCATTGCATTTGCATGCATGGTCATTCCAAGATCATGGTTAATGGTGTTAGATCTTGTCCACGCTCACGAAGCATTGGATTCATATAGTGGAAGTCCCTCTTGTGCTACATTTGCCCCACCACTCTTCACTCAACCATTAATTGTTTTCCCCTCCCTCAAAAACCATATAATAGAGAGATGCATCTCATTATGAAAGTGAGATATCATAGAGAGACAAACTTTTTTTGGTTAATCTGACCCGAAAGTAAATCATGGGATTGAAATTACGTTTTCTTTCTCAATTTAAGGTTTAAACTCAGACGGGATATATGTTTTGTATCTTTATTTTACCGGTTGAACTATTCGAATGGGTTAATAATGATTTGTGTTGTTTATTTAATGCAAAATATTTTTTTCAAACCATGTGGAACTAAACCTCTGACCTCCGAGCCCACACCGTCATGAGACAAAGCCCGCTAACCTTTGGCCCCCAACGTTAGGGCTATTTTCGTAGTTATAAAGCAAATCCAAGGGTAATAACGACATTTCACTCCTGTAACATGTTGGCGGTTGAGACATAGCTAGACCGGTTTCCACATATGTCGAACTAAAAGTAAGTATCCAACGAAAGCAAAGTGAGCAACTTACTTTTATTTTTCTTTCTTTCTGAATAATTGCAACAATTTAAGTTAAAAATCTCGCTTCTGACACGTCACTCTTCTTCTTACGTTTCAGTATCTTTCGCCTGTGCCCACTTTTTCTTTTTAAATTTTTAGTCCAATATTTAATTTTTTATATTTTTCAACTACCTACCTACCCTGAAATACTCACCTTTCGAGAAGGAAAAAAAAAACAATTTTAAAATATTTATTGAAACAATAATCTAGACTTAAATCTAAGCTATAAAATGAGGGTGCACATGTGTATTAATTTTTTTTTCGATGAATAATCTTTATATTTAGTGATAGTTTTAATCCTTTTTCGTTTGATGATTAATAAGCCAACTTATTACACTTGGCAGAAAGCACATTATTTTTCCTTGGCATTTATTAATTAATCTTTAATTAGATTCCGTCTGCAAAATATAAAGGAGAAAAACAGTAAACATGATTAAAGAAGTATTATTTAAATCGGATGATAGTCTCTACTCTCCATTTTAACAGTGCGAAAAGCTTAGAAATGTATTATTATCTATCTGGTGATCGGTGTGTGTCGTGTAGTCTCTCTCCTGCGCGTCCCTGTCTGTTCAGAGAGAGAGAGAGAGATTTCATGGTCTGAAGAATCTGACGAGATTCACGTTACTCTTGCTCCTCTCTTCTCTTCTCATCACTCAATCCAAACACCAGTGGCAGACACGTAACTTACAGAAGACAAAACCAAAGAACACAAAAAAAAACTCTCCCCTTGTGTTCTTCATCTTCAATCTAGAAGCAGTTGAAAGCATTGATGATCTGGTCTGAATCTACCCAATACCCATCATTACATGAGGATTCGCCTTCTGGGTCTACAAAATGGAAGCCATACATGATCCCCACTCCGTTGTCGTCGTTCCCCAAGTAAACCATGTCTCCGGCGAAGGAGACAAAGACCTCGCCGGCGCCGCCGGCGGAGAAGCTGTTGTGGCGGCGGCGGCGGAGGAGATAGTGAAAGAGAGGAGATCTTGCGCGTCGGAGTGTTCGGTGGAGGTAGATCTGGAGGATGGAATGGTACATTTGTCGAAATCTGAGAGGGATTGCAGGATTTGTCACATGAGTTTGGATTCAGGGAATCAAGAATCTGGGTTTCCGATTGAGCTCGGCTGTTCTTGCAAGGACGATCTTGCTGCTGCTCACAAGCAGTGTGCGGAGACTTGGTTCAAGATCAAAGGAAACAAGTAATGCCTCCTGTTTCTTCTGGTTTCTAGATTTTTGCCATTTTAAGAGTCACTGATTCTTGGTTCGAACATGATGAATTACTTTATGATTCGGCCGAGCGGATGAACATGGCCCACACAAGAGTGACCAAAACCATGGATACAGTTCCATGATTATGTTCTCAATTCGTTCTTGGTATGCGTTTGCAGAATGAATTCAGTTGTTATGGCCATCCTTAATCAACAATCCTTCAGTATTTCCCTATGACCATACCCCTTATGCTCACCTTTCCTTTATGATGCACTCACTGTTGTTGGTTTCTTTGCTGAAGAATCTGCGAAGTCTGCGGATCAATTGCCTGTAACATTGCTGGAACAATCGAGGCTGAGTCCGCGGAGCATTGGAACGAAGCGAACGGGTCAACGCAACAAGCAGCATCTGCTCAGGCAAATCTGGCAGAAGCCAGGAGCTTCTGGCAGGGCCACCGGTTCTTGAATTTCCTGCTGGCTTGCATGGTGTTTGCCTTTGTGATCTCTTGGCTCTTCCACTTCAACGTCCCCTCGTGAATGGGTGTGACAAGGTATTCTTCTGCGGTTGTATCTTGTCTGGAGGCTCTGTTGAAGTTTTCAATACTTTCAATGCAACTCTCACCAGTTTCTGTACCAGAAATCTGATCACTTGCACACAAGAGCTCACTGATTTAAAGATCAAACAAAGAAACTAAGAAAAAAACTTAGCATCTCAATCCGAAGCTAAAGTGTTTTCCAAGCTTTGCAAGAACAACTTATGTTCGAGAATGGAAACCCGAGTTCTCTTTTTTGCGTCTCCTGCATTTCTTGAGTGTCCTCGGGTTCGTCCTCTTCTCCGATGGACGGGGATCTTTTGCGTTCTGAATCTGCACAGGCAACTTCTTCCATCCGCCGTTGTTGAGATCAGGCGAAATCCACCTCTTCGATCCTCTCACGATTCTTCCATCCTCGTCCTCTCCAAACCTGAACAAAGAAACCGGGGCTTTATCCGCGTGGGCGATCTTTACACATTCTACGGTTCTGGAATCTTGGATCAGAAACTCCAATTGTCTGTCCCCCAGAAGATGCTGTTACAGCCAGAGGCTTTTGGTTCCAGAAGATGAGAATCTCCGAGCCCAATCAAGAGATCTCGCCAGTAGATTCGTTAAACGGTTCATCGTCCATTTCATATTGAAATTAGAATAACATGGCAAAGAGAATAATCCGTTCGATGAAGAACAAGTGAAGCATGACTTGCATCAATTACATGACAGAGAAAAGAAACACACACGTGTTTCATTACACTTCTCTTTATTTTCCTCCTCAATAATACATTAAAGCTAAGCTAGTGTAAACTCACAACTATCCGGTTTCATTTGTGATATATATATATTTCAGAAATCTCAATTTCAATTGGCAATAAGCATTTGATTGTTGGTGAGATGCCAATTTGCTTTGGTATCATGAAATGGGCCACCGACGAAGAGCCCAAAATTGGTTTCCACAGTGTCAAAAAGCCCTCTTAATGCTTCGTTTCAGACATCCAAAGACACGTGTCATTGTCTAGAAAATGAAATAATTGATGGGTTTACGCAGATATTTCAATTTCACATTATAAAATAAAATAATCAAAGACCAACCCACAAAAAGATAATGATCGGAGAAGGCAACAGCCATTATGGTTAATATCTCAGAAAATATAGATAGTTTTTTTTATTAAATTAAAAAAATTTAGATTTTCTAATATTAAAATTTCCTGATTAGTATAATCCATATATATATATATAGACACACACCCTCGTGTTTTTATGTGTATATCCTTCATTGGTTAGGCCAATATCTCAAGTATTTCACAACTGTTTGTTATAATTTGATTGGTTAGGGTTAACAATAATATCTATCATGGTCCATCTCTTTGGATAAGCTTCAAATTAAAGACAATCATTTCAAAACCTAAACCAATAAAAGATAAAATACTATACACAACAAATTAGGTAGCATTCGATGGATTGATTATACAGTAAAATAATTGCAATTAACTCTCTAATATCAAACATAAGATAACTGATAAATACCTAAATCCATGTCACGGGTCGGTATTAAAGTCAACGCCGATGGAGATTTGAACCGTGAAAAAACCGCAATGCCGCTGATTATTTTAGTTATAAGGAAAATAAATAAAACAAGTTGTATTATAATGATTATAACTATATAATATTTTGTAGTCATATTCTAAAGGATGTATGACAATGATTATAAACATAGTTTTTTCGGATATTTCCTAATATAAAGTACAAATACACGTTTTTGTGTTGTATGACATTGTCTAAGTTCCTTTCTTTACCAACCAAATCCCCCAGTTTTTCTATCCAAAGAGCCCTAATTTTGTCATACACCACAACATTTTCTGCTATTTTAAAAATAGATATAATAAATTCAATAACTCTAATGATTTTTTGAATTTGATCGGCACCTATATATTGATGTATAATTATTCTCCTAAAATTTGATGATATCTATTGAATTATAACAATAACATATTATTTTATTGTAGTCACATAATATTAATTATAATCATATTATTAAATATTATAGTTACAATTAAATTCATTATATTATAAAGACAAAATCGATGTTTAAATTTTTTATTAATAATATTTTAGTATATAATTTTTTTTATCCATAAAATTGGGCGCGCGTTGTTGTGTTGTGTGCACAACTTTCAGAAACCCGAGGACTTTCATTGGAGAAGGAGACGAGCGAGAGAGAGAGAGAGAGAGAGAGAGAGAGAGGAGCTTTAATGGAGAAGCGAAATGGTCGACGGGTGATTCTCTTTCCACTGCCATTACAGGGATGCATAAACCCTATGCTTCAGCTTGCGAACATCCTCTTCTCCAATGGCTTCTCCATCACTGTTATCCACACGCGCTTCAACGCGCCTAAACCTCAGAACTTCCCTCTCTTCACCTTCTTACAGATCCCAGACGGCTTGTCTGAATCCCAGGTTCAAGAAGCTCCTACCTGGGATGTTTCTTCTCTTCTCCTCCTCATCAATCGCAATTCCCAGTCCCCATTCCGTGAATTACTGGCCAAATTGTTACAGTCTGACAAGTTGGACGAGAAGATTAGCTGTTTGATCGATGATTGTGGATGGTTATTCACTAAATCTGTTGCTGACAGTTTCGGTTTACCCAGGATTGTCCTCAGTACCTTTGCCGCCACGTTCTTGAATGCTTATCCGATTCTCCCAAGCCTCCGCCGAAAAGGGTATCTTCAGATGCGAGGTATGAACACTTTTGCCTTCGTGTCTTGTCTGAAAGCATCGATCTTTTGAACTTTCTCGATGGTCTTTTTTTTTTGTCTCAGAATCTGAAGCAGAGGACCCTGTTCCCGAGCTTCCACCTCTTCGAAAGAAGGATATCTTACGAATTCTCGCCCAGGATGAAGATCAAATCGATCCATTCTTGGTTACTATGGTTGAAACAGCGAGGACATCGTCCGGGCTCATCTTCATGTCTTGCCAAGAACTCGAACAAGACTCACTGAGTCGATCCCCTGAAGTGTTTCAGTCTCCTGCCTTTCCAATAGGCCCGTTCCACAGCTACTTCACGGCCTCATCCAGCAGTTTACTGACACAAGACGAGACCTGTATTCCATGGTTAGACAAACAAGAAGACGAATCCGTAATCTACGTGAGTCTAGGCAGTGTCGTGACCATCAGCGAATCGGAATTCCTCGAGATCGCTTGGGGACTAATCACCAGCGATCAACCCTTCTTGTGGGTGGTTCGGCCAGGCTCGATCCGTGGCTCGAAGTGGA